CCGAAATCGAACCTGGGACCCTCAAGTCCGCAGACCGACGCTCTATCTATTGAGTCAAACCGGTTTCGACTAAAGAATTATTTTTAAAAAAGAATAAAACCTTATCTATGCCTGGCCAGTGTGCCTCAGTGGTTGAGTGTCAGCCTAGGAACCAGCAGGTCGTGGTTCAATTCTGGATCAGGGCACACGCCCCGTTGCGGGAGCTCAATCCCCAGTAGGGGGTGTGCAGTAGGCAGCCGTTCAATGATTCTCTCTCATCTTTGATGTTTCTCTCCCACCCTCTCCCTTCCTCTCTGAAATCAGTAAGAAGATAGAAAAATAAATAAGGAAATAAAACCTTCTCTCCTCACTGCCATTCTTGTTTTTTTAAATTGAATTTATTGAGGCGACATTGGTGGATGAAATTACACAAGTTTCAGGCCTACAATCGACGATACACCCTCTGTGCATTGTGTGTTTACCACCCCCAAGTCCGGCTCACCTGCCCGTCCTACAGTGATGGTGACAGAGAGGAATGGGTTCTAGCCCGGGGGTCTCTCAAACACGGCACTACCGACTTATTCGTGTCTACGCAATGAGGTTCATAGCATGAAATGGGGTCTCCAAGAGGATACTGCATTTTTATTAATTACAGTGGTGTCTGAAAGCAAAACGCCTCCTTCCTTCCTTTCCTGCTGAATTCTCCAGTAGAGCTGTCCTTGGAAAATTCCATCCTTTCCAGGCACTTGCAGTAATTCAAGGCCAGCCCCATCCTTAGCTGCAGCCTAAACCTCATCCCTTGTCCTTCAATCCTGGCCAGGCTGAGGTTTAGGGATTTGGGGGCACATGGGGCCTCCCCTGTGCTCCCCCTCCCACCTGGCGTGGAGGAGGTGCTTGCCATCTAGCGTGGGGACTCCCCCTCTTCCACACCCCGGCTTCTCTGAGGCCAGCTGGGAGAGAGCTGGTTCTGAGAGCTTCCTAAATGACTGCTGATCCTGATCCTCGTTTGGGGGTTGTGATACTTAAGTTTATGCATCACCGAGTGGTTTGGTCAAACATAAATCTAGATGCTGCTGTTGCTAGGCAGGTTATCTTCCATAAGGGGTCACCAGCTTTCAGCTGCTCCCTAGTTGCATTTTGAATATCCTGTTAGGCGTTCCCCACATGGTGGTCCAAGTTCAACCTGCAGTACCCCTGGCTTCGAACAGGCGTGGATTTGACTTGCTTCTGCCCAACACCCACAAAGAAATGAGTGAGGTCATCGGAGGCCTGAGCCGAGCCAGTGAGCCAGTGGGGACGCTGGTGGGGAGCTCCTGGGCAGAGGCAGCAGGGGCGGGGCCTGTGGGTGGATGGCTTTAGCTAGAGCAGCTTCTGAATGTGGCTGGGTGGCTAACACCCATTCTGGGGTGCGGTGAGGACCTGCACCTCTGGTGCTTCCAGATTCCCTCCCAGTTTAAACTAGCCAAAGGGAAGTCCTGGTTTCACAACTAAGAATCCTGCCAGGCAACAAGCCATTTCATATTTTATCTGATGATACCTGCTGGTTTTTTTTTTTTTTTAATATATTTTTATTGATATCAGAAAGGAAAGGAGGGAGAGATAAAAACATCGATGATGAGAATCATTGATCGGCTGCCTTCTGCACACCCCCTACTGGGGATTGAGCCTGCAACCTCTGCAGGCAGACACTCAGTCCACTGAGCCAAACTGGTGAGGGCCTGATAATTGGTATTCTTAAGGCCAGTCCCCTCCTCCCAATCTCCTGCTGCTCCCCATAGCTGATTTTTTCCAAATAATTTGCTTTCACAATCTGAGAGGTACTTTTAAAAAAATCTATTGCATTGTAATGGAAACCGGACTCAATTTGTATGTTAACTTAGGAAAGATTGGTATTTTATTTTCCAAACAAAGAATGCGACATACACTCCCATATGTATGGGAGGGAGGGAGGGGGGAGGCAAAAAAAAAAAAATCAATAAAATATATTAAAAAAATAAAATAAAATTCCAGAATGTTTTAGCAATTAAATGATGTATGTCTTAAAAAAGGAAAATAATAAGTTCCTAGGAAGTTTGTGTCATAGATATATCGATACATAGTCCCCGATTGGATAGTCCTATGGAATATTGCTGAACAGGATGAAAGGACAGGCAGAAAAGCACCCAGTGGGTGGAAGCCTCTTTGCCAACTCTGTGCTGGTGTAAACTAAGGATCTAGTTAATGTTTAACAGGGATTTTGTTGTTGTTGGCTACTTTGTGCCAAAGACAGGATAAGCTCTGAGGAATCACAAATTAATAAGATTCAGTCATTTCCCTCAATTCACTTAGTATCTACTTGTACAAGGACTAAATACAATGGCCTGTCAGAGCCCTAACTGCTTTGGCTCAGTGGATAGAGTATGAGCCGGTGGACTGAAGGGCACCAGATTCAATTCCAGTCAAGGGCACATGCCTTTGTTCCTCAGTTTAGTTGGTCAGGGTTGTTTTGATTTTATCTCAAAAAAAAAAAAAAAATGAATGCGACAGTTTTTCATTTGTCCTATTGGCTTCTGTCCTTCAATAAGACTTTAGTTTTCATATGGTTTTGTCTTTCTTGAAAATTTATTTCTAGATACGATAGTTTTCATTGTGATGTAATCGGATTTCCTCCCCCCAACCCCTCAATTTCTTTTTTTTAGGTGCTTATTCCAACACAGAAAGCTCTTTAGGTTGTTTTATAAAATATATGCCTTTTATTGATTTCAGAGAGGAAGAGAGAGATAGAAACATCAATGATGAGAGAGAATCATTGACTGGCTGCCTCCTGCACGCCCCCCACTGGGGATCAAGCCTGCAATCCAGGAAAGTGCCCTGACAGGGAATCAAACCATGACCTCCTGGTTTATAGGTTGACGCTCAACCACTGAGCCTGCTGGCTGGCCTCTCTCGTTTTTTTGAGTAACAGTCACTCCAGGGTATTCTCTTCTTAGTGCTGGCAGCGTTTTATCTGGCACACAGTCAGGAAACAAACATTTGTTATACCAATTTTTTTTAAATATATATTTTATTGATTTTTTACAGAGAGGAAGGGAGAGGGATAGAGGGTTAGAAACATCGATGAGAGAGAATCATCCATCAGCGGCCTCTTGCACACCCCCTACTGGGGATGTGTCCGCAACCAAGGTACATGCCCCTGACCCGAATCGAACCTGGGACCTTTCAGTCCGCAGGCCGACGTTCCATCCACTGAGCCAAACCGGCTTCGGTATGTTATACCAATTTTTAAATGTTCCTGTTAATCTCTCTTGTGGAGGAGACTATTTTATAAAGTGACCACTGCAGGACCTTGGGGATGGATCCTAGCCGGAACCAAGACTGCTTCCCATACAGCCCCAGCCTGACTGGGAACCCTCCCCTCTACGCCCATGCCTGTTTCTGGAGCAGGCCTTTGCCCGGATCTCAGCAAGCCTATCCGGTATCTCCCCTTATCTGAGCTGCGTCAAGCACCAGCACCCTATCTATCTTGCCTATCCTGTACAATTCTTTAGTGTCTGCCATGTGCCTTGTATCTAAGTCCCCAGGTTAGATGTCACGTGGGACCCTTAGCCAGCTCCCGCACCGAGGACGACCTGGGACAAGGCGGGCATTTGAGAGCTATTTTCATCCATGGCTTTCCCTTTTGGATCCTGTTACCAAACAACCACAACAAAAGTCAAGTTCACCCCCAATATCCCACTGGTAATGTTCTATTTCTTAAGCAAAATGGTGGTTTTAGGTGTTCATTTTATTATGCTTTATAATTTATATACAGGTTACATATACTCATTTTAAAGGCTTTGATACAATAAATAAAAAAGGAAAGCACACGTATACAAATAAGAATGCCATTATTCTGGGGATGACCTTGAAGTTGCTTAAGTTTTTATTCAAATTAGCCTGTTCATAAACCTCAATACTGTAATAATTATTAGTCAACAAACATTTACAATGCACCTCATATACTTGTCTTGATGCTAGGGTTAGAAATTACTCTCTTATTCAGAAAGTAGTAATGCCTTATGATTAAATATTTTACACGTTTCAATAATTCTATCGTAACTATAGTTATTTACGTTATAAATAATTATAGTTATAATCTCATGCTTGCAGTTTACGTGTGATGGGCTACTTTTTGTCATCTTTTCTCTGGAATTTAAAGCTTTCACTGAGCAGAAGGAATTTCTCCCCGAATATACTACATATAAATTATTAGCTGCTACTTGAAGCAGCATCTGAGAGATGTCAAACTTTACACTCAGTTGGATGAGCTAAAACCTCATCTTAAAAATGATGCTTGGGTACAGCCTACATATTGTATGTCAACCCCATGACAGACAACTAGCTGTGCCTCCGCTGCTTCCTCAGTAATGGAGGATTGACAATGACAATACAGAGTAAAGACAATTTTCCATCCCTCTTTGTAGCTAGGAATCAAGTGATTTTGTGTTGATAAGTCTATGTGGTGTGAATAATTTATAAGAGGTGTTCTTAAAGGGGGCAGAAATGCTGATAAGACATTCCCAGCTGCTCCCACTCTGCAGCCCTGACAGGACAGCCACGTGTCGAGGACAGGGAGGGGCAGCAGAGGGACCGTGCGTCCCTGACCCTGCAGCGTCACGTAGCGCTGGGCTGGCTGCCTTTCCACGTGAGCGAAATAAACCATCTTATTTAAGTTGTTCTTGTTGGGGGGACACGGCCACACTAACACACAGTGCCAAAGGGGAATCCACTTCTTAGCCTAAAAGGTTGACACCATTGGTATAACTCACCTGGTGGCAGTTACTTCTCTTGCTAACGTGCGATAAGATAGAAGCTGTTTCCCAGTGCCATGAACAGGGACATTCTAAGAGATGCTTAACTCCAAATATTTGGTAAAGCCTACAGGTGCACCTATGGTTTTAGACAGAAACATCCAGAACATCAAAAAGTAATTGATTTTATAATAGCTTAAGATGCAAAATGACTGAGAAGTCCCTCCCCATAAGAGATCTAGAATGAGCAAGTTAAACAAAACAAAAATGGCTTTATTTACAATACTCAATGCATTTTACAAATAACACATTTGCATTCCCTAAGTCTTTTGGAAAGTAATTCCAGTTTGTGCAGTGAGTTTACAGGAAAGACTTAAGACATCTATTAGACATCTTAAACCTAATTTCTAAGTTTTGAAAGACCTTATATTAACAGACGACTGTTTTTAATGAAGAAAAACTAAACTCTGTAGTTAAATATTGCCCTTCAATATTTTTTAACCAAATACAAACTGGATTAGTCTATGAAGTAATACCATTAGATTTGAATGTATTATTTTCACTGTCCCCTCCCCACCCCCCAACAGAACGCATGCACAAAGTAAACATGGTAAATTACATTGGCGTTTGATTTTAATACTTTTTGGACTCTCTCAACTGTTTCACTTAGTCCAGAGTATAGTTAGATGAGGGTTCCACCTGGGGAAACCCTAAACCACTACTCCCCAGTCCAGAATAGAGAGGAATTTTCAGTGTACGGAGACAGAAGGGATTAGGACGATTTTAAAGTAGTTTCTACAGGAGCCTTAATTGCTCCTCAGAACAGGTGCCCTCCAGGCCTGAAGACCAAAGGGATCAGTCATCTTCCTACTGACAGTTTGGGGAGCCACTAATCAGAGCCCCAGGGAGCAATGGGCTCCTCTCTCCCCCTCCTCCCTGAATCACTACTTGATTGTATGCCTTCTGAGTTGATGATGGGAACAGTTCCTGTGTTCAGATTCCAGAAACTCCTTTCATGTCACAGAAAGACCTCTGGGTCACGTCAAGAGCAAGCAACAATAATACTGTAATCCGGCAGGAGTTTGCACCTCATGCATGTGAACGAGAACAAATTTACTGTTCCAGCGCCACAATTCATTTCTCCTTAAAAGACAGTGTCTTTAACATCTGGCATAAATGGTTGACTGGGTGATACTAAACTGAGAAACAAAGTTCTACACTTGACATAGCCAACAAAATTCTAGGATAAAGAAATGGTGAGGTAGAGTTGAGAGAGTTTAATTTTTTTGAGCACACATCTTTTGGCACATCCTAAAATTAGACTCCCTACTGAATTCTCCTTTGTCAGATCTTTACAAAGTGCCGGCAACACAGGAATCCTTGAATCTACTTAGGAATCATCTATGTGAAAAGCTAACAGACTAAAGTCATTTGAAGGAATCCATTCCTTGCATGTTAGCATATTTATCCCAATATTGAAGCAAATAAAAACAATGCTATCCATTTGCTGAATTTATTTAAAACAAATCAATTTAGAAATATCATAAACAAAACTTCTGACATGTAAACATACTGCCATGTTCCTGAAACAGATGTTGACACCCGATAAAGAGTTAATAATCGCGTGTTAGGAAAGCTGTCCATTAATAAGGCCAGTCTTCAGCAAAACTAAAACCATTTTGTATCTTTAGCTTTCCTGGATTGACAATGCAATACTATCAAATCACAATCAAAGAGAATAAAGACAACGCTGGATGGACAGATCAGTACCATTGGTTACAGCTAAACAGTTTCATTCTTGGCGCCACATAAAAACAATTAAGCCAATCACATCAAATCATGGCTTTTTTCTTTATCACAATTCACTAAGTGATGTTAATTATGGTCCTTGTCAAACACGTTTGGTAAAGGCTATTTACAGTGTACATGGCTGAGCATGCACTATTTATAGTTACAAAGATACCTGCCAGTTTATCACAATAGAATTACACAGTGCCTGAAATGGTAAAACAGCTCCCACAGCATTTAAATTAATAGTTTCAAGCAGGAAACATTCCTTATTTGACCATGATTGCAATAATTACAAGAAAATTCTTATAAAAACACGAATCCCCTTCAAGAAATTGATGCATATTCTACGCACTCCAGGTTAAGGCAGTAAAAAACGTATTCCTGATAGCTGGAGGTCTTGACAATGTCAATTAAAGCTGTTTGACGCTAGGTTTCCATTCTCCATCGTATACTCAAAAGTTCTGTCTGTAGAACTAGTTTGTGAAAGATTTCATTTTTATAGTCAAAAAGTGTTAGTAATGAGGAGATGACACTGGAAAAAATTGCTAGGGAAAGGAAAAATAAGTTACATTTTGTTTGAAAGTTTTCAAATCATAAACAAGAGCATTATTTGTGAGTCTCATCTTTGAAAGTATAAAACAAAGACATACAGTTTACCATTCTTAATTTAAAATATATTGTACTTTGAACAATTCAAGTAATGTAAGACTATCAAAAATAAGTTCATAAGCCATAAGTGTCAACTGCATTTTCAATGTTTTAATTAAGAACTTTTTAAAAATTATAAACTAAACCATGACAGTTTAGTTAAATAAATGATAAATGACTTTTTATTTGCACTTGTGATTCCTTTAATACAAATTGCTACCAACAAATATGTAAAGATATGGCAGATTATTTGATCAAAGCACTTTGATTTAAGCATAAAACAGATTCAAATGGTATAAGTTCCGTGCATAAGGTCCGAGAAGTTGCCTACGAATTTGTAGGCAACCCTCTCTCTCTAATCAGAATCCTTTATTCCTCAGTTGCAGAAGAAATAGGGCACAATCTGTTGTAAACAGGGCACTGTTGTAAAACCAGGATAATATTCTTGAATTAAGAACGTTCTCATTAAATTGAAAAGACTTTCCCAAGTGTCTTCCAGCAATGTAGTATATATATTCTGCTGACCTCTTAATTTCATAAATTAACTTTCCTTTGATTCCATTTTTATGGTGGTTATGTTCACAGTTTTGTCTTAAAAATTGGTTTAAATTTATATAAAACTCTGTACATGTTCACAAATTATTGCATAAACAGCATAATCTTCAAGACAGTGTCTGCAAACACATGTCCTATTCAGGAAAAGAAAATTCACGTTTCCCGCCTGGCTTTTTTCTTCTTTTTTATTTGTTTTGGGGATTCCCAGCTAGTTTCAGACTTGGCTGAAAGAGAAATAAAAAAATAAAAAACAACAGGAGATAAAAAAGTTAGGAGGATAATAAATATCGTTATGTTTCAAAAATATAAAAGTAGCACCAATGAAAACATGCTTTGAAGTCCACTAAGAGTGCCTTAGATTTTATGTTTAAGTTTTTAAGTTCTAGTTACATGTTTTAGGTTATTCTATGTCTGCCTTCCTCTTTCCTTTCAATTCCAATATTTACAGTAGTTTAACCATATGGATGACATTTTACCAGTTTTGAACTAGAAAAATGATGAACAATCTGCCATTTCAAGAACATGTGCACCCTCTGCCCTGGCGGTGTGGCTCAGTTGGCTGGGCATCGTCCTGTGCACGGAAAGGATGCTGGTTTGACCCTTAGTCAGGGCACATGCCCAGGTTTCAGGCTTGATCCCCAGCAGGGGCTATGCAGGAGGCAGTCAATGATATTCCTCTCACACATCATTATCGATGTTTCTCTTTTCCTCTCCCTTTCCTTGAAAAAAATCAACTAAAAACTATGATCAGAAGTCTAAATACCTTAGGCTTCTAAGATAGTAACACTTATAAACAGTATAGAGAGCACACAAAAGAACAAAAAATGAGATGACTTACTTTGTGAAGGAGGCACGCTATTTTGCTTAGTATTTGACTTGGATTTATCTGACTCTTGTAGCATCGGTGGCACTTGGGAAGAGCTCTTGTCAGAATCACTTTTTGATAAAATAACAGATGGCTCGGTAGAAACAGCAGGTGGAAGAGTCTTGATAGGCTATTTTGGAATACAATTATTTTAAATTTTTTGTATGAAATTCCAAATAAAATGTAATATCATAATAATAAGAGGCTGGTTAGCAACAACTAAATACAAAAATGGTTTCCAGAAGCACAACTCACACCTGCCCTCTAGTGACAAAACTGAATATATCTTTACCCACAAATACAGGTTGAGATTTAAATGAAGATTTAAATGAAGATTTAAAATTACAAGATGTTTATTGAATCTCAAATACGAGTAAATAATTTTCATTAACTTTTAAATTTATGATTTTATATTTGTTAGCAATTCAATGGTTCTGTCCACTTCCCACCAACTCAACTTAAAACCTTTTCATGTGAAAGACAAAAAGAAAACCACTAATTTCAGAACTTCAGAACTACCAGTAGGCAATCCCCGCCTTTTTCCTTCTCAAGAGGTAGGAGTATCTCAAACAGCATCAGCAATAGCTTGTTTCCTACCTATGGGAAAATATGACCTCAAGCAAAAGCTGACTATGGCTATTAGTTCTGCCAATCAAAGCAACTTAAACTCAGGTCCAAATCTTCCAAGTTTTATCCAGTTTGGTGGTGATATAATGCCTAGGGCCTAGACTCTTGAGCTTTGCTTCTCCTTCTTCAACCTATGAGCAGAAAGGAGTTAAATTGATTTGCCTCACTGGAGTCAATGAACTGTCAAAACCAAGTAATAATAGAATCTCCAATATTTGGGAGTTCCCTGAGGCTTTAACAGATGAGTAAGAGATCATCTCACCCTTTAGCTTTACCTGTTATTTTGAATACCAGAGGCCTGGTGGACGAAATTCGTGCACTGGGGGTGGTGTGGTGTGTGTGTGTCTCTCCCTCAGCCTGACCTGCACCCTCTCCAATCTGGGATAGCTCACTCCTAACCACTCACCTGTCTGGCAGCCTGATCGCCCCTAACCACCTCTGCCTGCCAGCCTGATTGCCTCGAATTGCCTCTGCCTGCTGGCCTGATTGCCCCCTAACTGTTCCCCTTCTGGCCTGATGGCCCCCTAATTGCTCCCTTGCTGGCCTGATGGCCCCTAACTGCTCCCCTGCCGGTCTGATTGCTCCTAACTGCTCCCCTGCCTGCCTGATGGCCCCTAACTGCTTCTACCTCAGCCTCTGCGGCTTTGTCTGGAATAACATCCAGAAGGTCATTTGGTCTAATTAGCATATTACTCTTATTAGCATAGAAACCAGGATAAGTAATGTTTCTCCTGCCCTTTGTGCTTTCAGGCTCGTTGGTTCAAGAAAGCACCAAGGAAAAGGAAACAAAAGGAGGGAGCTGTGTGTGCCCAGATAAATCCTGGGGTTCTTTCTTCCTATTTCAGGGATCTGAAGCAGCATTATGTTCCGTTCAACTTTCTTAAGGTTACCTGTATTTATTTCATACCAAACATATTGTTTTACTACTTATTTTTAATCTCCTTTCCTCCTCTGTTCTCTCACTTATCTATATTAATATTCTTTACACGATGGCTTCTGAAAATAATTTAAGCAAAACATCAGAATGTCAAATGACCCTTTGTAGTCCTTTTAAACCTACAAATGTGTTGAGATTGCATCCTTTTATCTCAAAGTACTCTCAGGGAGATAAAAGCAACCAATCCAAATAGGAAGAATGGTTACAACTGTGTTTTAGGACAAGATGGTTATGAATTCTCTCTCTTATTGGTAATCCCAGTTCTTGTCTAAAGCTGTTTTGTTAAGCAAGTAAGCTCCACAAAGGCAGAGATTAGCTTTTGTTTCCTTAGTTCTCAGAATCTAAAACAGTGTGTGGCATATGGTACCCAATGTATTTTCTTAATGAGTAAATAAATGAACCATTCAACTCCAGTAGAATTTAATATATTTCAACATGATGTAATTCACCTAAATGTAAATCAATATGTGTCAGTGACCTAGATTTTCTGTAATGTAGTGCCTTCTGACACATCAAAAATTTCCACAAAAGGCACATGTTTTAAGAACCTCTTACCAAATTTATTAAATGCTCCATTTAGAGAGGTTGGACCATAATCATATTATGTGCATGCTTTGGGAAAAATGCAACCAGTCACATTTTCTCTGAGCTGTTTATTGATTCCTGCGTGCCTAGACAGTTAATAGGAGAAAATATAGACTAGCAGATCTGATTTTACCATTGATAGCTATGCAATTTTGGACAAGTTTGTTCAACTTCTCTAACCTCATTTACATAATGGTCCTACCTTTCTTGTTTTTCTTTTTGTGAAGAATAAATTATTTTGAGAATTTTAAATACTTAGCACAATACTTCAATAAAATATTAATTATAATTCTCAAGTCATCAAAGTTTTACTTTTTAAATTTCAAAAAATCACCTGGCTATTTTTGACAAGTGTTTCTGCTGGATCACTAGTGCTTATGGTTTTCGAAGAAAAAGCTTTTTCCTGTTTTGGACGAACTTTAGAGGTATTCACTGGAAGCTCTTCTCTAATCTCTTTTTCTAATTCTTCTGGGTCCTAGAAAGAAAAGTAGTCTATTAGATGATTTAAATTACCCATTTTTACTATTTAAAATCTACTTCACATAGAACTTCATGGATATCTCATTTAAACAATGAAGAAACTAAAATTTGAAGAAAAGTCTGACTCTAAAACTTTTATAAACTTACTAGAGGTGCATCGGTGGAGTCCCTCTGCCCGAGCTGCACCTTCTCACAATCCAGGACCCCTTGGGGGATGTTGGAGAGCTAGTTTCAGCCCGATCCCTGCAGGTCAGGCCGAGTGACCTTACCAGTGCACGAATCCATGCACCAGGCCTCTAATATGCATATAAGATCCTTGGTTAATCTCTTCTCCCCTGCCCCCTTCCCTCTGAGATTCATCAGTCTGTTCCATGTTTCCATGCCTGTGTGTTGAGCATCTGCCCTCTGTTTCAGTTGAACAGTTGCTTAGGCATATATATATATATATATATATATATATATATTTTTTTTTTTAAATAAACACACACACATGCATATTTACATATTTATTTATTTCAGAAAGGAAGGGAGAGAGACAGAAACATCAATGATGACCGAATTATTATTATTATTAAAAAAAAATATTTTATTGATTTTTTACAGAGGGGAAGGGAGAGAGGGAGAGAGAGCTAGAAACATCGATGAGAGAGAAACATCAATCAGCTGCCTCCTGAACAACGCCCACTGGGGATGTGCCCGCAACCAAGGTACATGCCCCTGACTGAAACCGAACCCAGAACCCTTCAGTCTGCAGACCGATGCTCTACCACTGAGCCAAACTGGTTTCGGCAATGATGACCGAATTATTGATCAGCTGCCTCCTACACGCCCTCCTCACTGGAGATTGAGCCTTCAACCCAGGCAAGTGCCCCGACCAAGAATCAAACCATGACCTCCTGAGTCATGCTTCATTGTATTTAAAAAAAAAACAGATCAGCCGAAGCCGGTTTGGCTCAGTGGTAGAGCATTGGTCTGCGGACTGAAAGGTCCCAGGTTCGATTCCGGTCAAGGGCATGTACCTTGGTTGCAGGCACATCCCCGGTAGGGGGAGTGCAAGAGGCAGCTGATCGATGTTTCTCTCTTATCGACGTTTCTACCTCTCTATCTGTCTCCCTTTCTCTCTGTTAAAAATCAATAAAATATATTTAAAAACAAAACAAAACAAAAAAACAGATCAAACTTTAAAAAAAAAGGAATATCATCAAAATACCAAAGGAACTTTCACAATGACCTTTTCCAATAAGTTGAAATTTACAGAATACATTAATCTCTCAAAATTTCCTTTAAAAGGAATTCACCAATCTACAAGCCCAGGAAGGCCATAATCAACACAGAAATCTAGAACAAGTTGGCTAAATGGATTTCAGAAGGTATTGCTAGCAAAGGATAGCTGTCAATAATATTTCTCAGACAATTGTTTAGCATAGTTGTAAATAAGTAATAAGATTTTCATATATTGTAATGTAATGGTGATATGCTGCTTTAAAAAATAAATCCAGCCCTCGCCGGTGTGCTCATTGTGATAGAGCATCGGCTTGCCCAGGCATATACTGGGTTCAATTCCAGTCAGGGGCATGTATCTCGGATCTTGGTTGCAGGCTCCTTCCCTACCATGACCCTGGTCAGGGCACATGCAGAAGGCAACCAATTGATGTGTTTTTCTTATATCGATGTTTCTGTCTTTTCCTCTTCCTTCCACTCTCTCTAAAAATCAATGGAAAAATATCCTCAAGTGAGGATTAAAATAAAAATTAAAAAAATCCATGTAGCTCATGTGGCTCAGTGATTGATTCATCCCATGAACCAAGTGGTTACCGGTTCCAGTAATATAGCATGTATGTTATTTCCAGTAATATAGCATGTATGAAATTAAAATATCTTTGTTTTCATCGATATCAGTGGTTCCAATCTTTTTTGGCCATGCCCCACCTAAACATTTCAAAAATCCTGATGCCCCCCTGTGACATATAATTCTATTATTCAAAAAGTGAACTCCTATTCAAGTGGCAGAACCTAAAAGGCCACTAACTTGGTCTAAACAAGCTTTCAAAGAACATGGCATCTGTGAAAGAGGAAAATAAAAGAACAAAAGAACAGTTAAAGTAATGAGGAAGAAATCCCTAAGAAATTGTTAAAGAAAAAATGATGTGATATGAGAAAAAATGAAGTTTCAAAATCACATGATAAAGAACTGAAATGCATAAATGTAACAATATATATTTATATATTGTATTTGAGGCCCCTAGAATCGTAAGAAATGCAAAAAATTCACTGTTAATAACTCATTCTCAAATTGCTGTGGGGAGTGTGCCCCACATTGGGAACCACTGATCTACAATATAATCTAAAACATTTCCCAGATGGGAGAGACCAAAGAAAAGGAAAACGGAGGAGCAACACAAAGTTAGAATTTCTGTAGGTGTGAAATACTGTATGAACCTCCTTTCCCATTTCAGCACAAAATGCATCTGGACTAATTTAGAATTTTATTTATTTACTTTTGGGCTTACAACTTGGATTTTTAAAAAAAATATGTATTTTATTGGTTTTGTACAGAGAGGAAGGGAGAAAGGTAGAGAGTTAGAAACATTGATGAGAGAGAGTCATCAATCAGCTGCCTCTTGCACACCCCCTACTGGGGATAAGCCCGCAACCAAGGTACATGCCCTTGACCGGAATCGAACCTGGGACCTTTCAGTCCCCAAGCCGACGCTCTATCCATTGAGCCAAACTGGTTTCGACTGGATTTAGTTTTTCTTAAGCAACAAAGGTGTTTTGTTTTGTTTCTTTAATAGTATGATGTATAAAATCTTTAAAACATTTAGGGAATTTTTAAATAAATTTGATGTGTGTTTTATCTCTACATAGTCTTAGCATTTTCTTTTCACATTTCTGCAGTAGGTGCTTACTGAATGAAGCTTGTTTTGATACTCTACCTGTGCAGGAGAGTTATCGTCACCTTGCTTCTTCTTTTTCTTCTTTTTCTTTTTAGATTTCCCGGTTGAAAGAGCACCCTCTCCTTTTTCTTTATCATCATCTGAAACCTAATTTTAAAAGCAAAAATGTTAAAGTGAACTGATTGATTTAGTTCTCATTATTCTGAAAATATTTTGAAATATTTTCATTTATTAGGTTTAGTCTTTATTTAAATACTAAATAAGAATTAATAACAAGCAATAAAAGTGATCTAAAATTACATCTTAAGAAATAAAGTACATGGAACTTCATTCTCCTATTGTCTATGACTGACCACTTTTTCCTTACATCTTTCCTTACTTACTATAAGACTTACTGTGCAAATCTTGGTTTTTAAAAATTCACTAGATAGGTAATTTTGTTTTATTTAAGAGTTTAAATGTAGAACTATTTGTATTAAAATTGAGTTTGACCCTGTTAAGAGGATGGCAAACTAAAGAGTGGGAGAAAATATTTGCAAACCATATACCCAACCAAAGACTTGTATCTAGATTATATTTAGAACACTAACAATTCAATAGTAAAAAAAACCCAAGCGTCTAAATAGAAAATGTACAAAGATCTAAACAGACATTTCATGAAAGCAGACAGACAGATGGCAAAAAAGCAGATGGAATTATGTGCAATATTATTAGCCATTAGGAAAATCCAGACTAAAAATTTACCATGAGTTATCACCACATACCTATCAGAATGGTTAAAATAAAAAACAGTGGTCCTGGCCAGGTAGCTCAATTGCCAAAGTTGTTGATTTGATACCTGACCAGGACACATACAAGAATCAGCCAATGCATGCATAAAAAAGTGGAACAACAAATTGATGTTTCTCTCTCTTTCTCTAAAATCAATTACAAAAAATTAAAGAAAAAAGTGATAACAGCCAAGTGCTTGCAAGAATGCAGAGAAATTAGATCGCTCGTGCATTCCCAGTAGAAATATAAATATAGAGATACGGCCACTCTGGAAAAAAGCAGTTTCTTAAAATATTAAATATGAACCTATTACCTGGGATTGTACTCATAGGCATTTATTCCAGAGAAATAAAAACTTACATTTGCATAAAAACTAGTACATGTATACAGCAGCTTTATTCATAACAGCCCCCAAATGGAAACAACTCAAATGTCCTTTACCAGGAGGATGATTAAATACAGGCATACCTCAGATATAATGCGAGTTCAGTTCCCGACCACCAATATGAAGCAAGTATTGCAATAAAGTGAGTTGTAATCTTTTTTGCTGGTGGAGGGTCTTGCCTTTAATTTGTAAATAAATGAAACATTTGTGAAGTGCAATAAAATGAGGTATGCCTGTAAACTGAGCAGAGCATGGACTACTACTCCAAGTAATAAGAAGCACCTAATGACACATACAACAATTTGGAGGAATCTTTAGTGGTTGTCAGCTGGTGGTCCGTGAGGTCCGAAAGGTTGGCAACCGCTGTTTTAGAGATTATGCTCAGAGAAAAAACTGTGCCAAAGGTTTCCTATATAATAAAAGCCTAATATGCAAATTGTCCCCTAGACCAGGAGTTCGACCAAGGGTGGGGCCAGTTGGCCAACTGCGGGAAGGAAGGTCCTGACCAGCAGCTAGCAGCCGCTAGGAACCCTACTTGTGCATGAATTTTGTGCACTAAGCCTCTAGTATACTATATAATTCTTTACATAGAACATTCTTGAAATGACAAAATTATAGAGATGATGAACTTCCTGGTTGGCTAAAAATTTCAAAAGGGGGTGGAGATAGAAAGGAAGAGAAGGTGGTATGAAAAAGAGCAACCTGAGGGATAATTGAAGTGACAGAAATGTTCTGTATCTTGACTACATCAATGTCAAGATCTGGTTGTGATACTGTCCTATAGTTTCAAAAATATCACCAAGGAGGGACACTGGGTAAAGGGTACTGTATTATTTCTTACAAGTAAATGTGACTTTCTAATCATCTCAAAATAAAAGGCTTAATTAAAAAATTAAATCTGAGAAAGTCACTGAAAATAACATTCTGCATAATAAAAACTGAATTAGGACTGTTAAATTAGTATTATTAGTACTAATGATATCTCTTCACATATCACATATAGTTGAATTTCCTATAGAAAAGTGTCTTTTGTTTATTTTGCACAGGTGATAGCCAAGATCCACAGACTATTCTTAGAGAAAGAAATGATAAGGATACCTGCTATTTCTGTTCAGCACCATAGTCATTAGGATGATTTTAGAGGTCTCATGAATCACCAAATAGTTTATAAAATTATTATCAGAGAGGAAAACAAAATGCTGTACCACTTAGTTTTAGCTAACTGTAACTCAGCCATAGAAGAAAGGCAGTTCTCATGGCAAAACACTGTTTTTGTTTATGGGAAAAAGGAGGAAATCAACTCCATACCGCCTTTTAACTAAAATATTCTGAAAAACCGAAAATTCCTTTTATTCCCTTTCTTAATCCCATTCCCACATTACCTCCCTAGAGGTAACCATTATCATGAACTTCTTTTGTATCCATCTAATAGATTTTTATAAATTTATGTCTCCCCACACAAAATGTACACAAATGGTATCATTGTTATCTTTCTGAAACATGCTCATCATCATATATATATCTCTTTAAAAATATATTTTTAGATATTTTATATGTACATGTGTATATAAATGAGATTTTAGTAATATTGATATACTAATTTTTTAATTTTAATTTTTTTGATATACTTAGCTTTAATTCATTTAAAAAATCTCTAATATGCCACTGTACAAACAGATCACATTTTATTTATCCATTCCCCAACTAATAGGCATTTAGATGGTTTCCTATTTTTGCTTAGAAATGTAAAGATGATCTCTGAATCTGCTCAGAAAAAGAACTGCTATATGTGATTGTCTTTATTCAGTATCTCCACTGTTAAATTCTGATGAACAAGCATAGGAAGTTCCAGTTAAGAGAAACAGACTTTTATTTGTACATTCACTACGTATCAGAATGATTACTGTGTGCTAAGATACTATATACTAAGAAGCTTTTAAAACATGTAAACTTTATTATTATTATTATTTTTTGAGCAGTTTTAGGTTCACAGCAAAACTGAGCAGAAGGTAAGGATTTCCATATACTCCCTGCCCTCACACACACACACAGACTCCCCACATCCCCCATTATCAGCATTCCTTCAGAGTGGCACATTTGTTACAATGAATCTACAGTGACACACCACTGTCACTCGAAGTCCATAGCCAACACCAGGGCTCACTCTTGGTGTTGCACATTCTGCGGGTTTGGACAAATGTACAGTGACATGGATCCACCATTCTAGTATCATACAAAGTAGTTTCATTGCCTGAAGTACCCTCTATGCTCTGCCCATTTGTCCCTTTTTTCTCCAGCTCTTGGCAACTGTAGTAAGCTTTTGTAGGTCCAATCTAAATTCGTTATCCCCTCCCCCTCGCCCCAGACTTTGATTTTACTGGTAACTGTGCCCCTCTACATTTATTTACACCCTTAGTAGTAAAACTCATTAAGGACCTTTCCCTTTCTCTGGTCCCTGAAGATGAGAGGTACTATCTATCCAATTAGAGGCTAACCCACAATCCACTTGTCCTAAGATTCCCCAAACTCTATTGCTAGGATCTTATTCTACTAGTGAAATCCCTCATACATATTTAATTTTACTTAAGATTCTTTGCCGCTTTGCCTACAGATATATTAAAGCAGGAGTAGGCAAACTACGAATTTAGCCCAATGCCAGTTTTTGTAAATAAAGTTCACTTTTGTATTGCCTATAGCTACTTTTGCACTGTGTGGTTTTTTATTAAAAAATCTGCCGATCCTGCATTAAAATCTCTTCTACAGCCCAGTCAGAGTGGTTCAGTGGCTGAGTACTGACCTATAAACCAAAAGGTCATGGTTCAATTCTTGGTCAGGGCACATGCCCAGGTTGTGGGCTCAGTCCCCAGTGTGGGGTGTGTAAGAGTCAGCTGATCAATGATTCTCTCTTTTAAAAAATATATTTTATTGATTTTTTACAGAGAGGAAGGGACAGGGATAGAGAGTTAGAAACATCGATAAGAAACAGATCAGCTGCCTCCCGTACACTCCCCACTGGGTATTTGCCGGCACCAAGGTACATGCCCCTGACCGGAATCGAACCTGGGACCCTTGAGTCTGCAGGCCAATGCTCTAGCCCACATGTGTCAAACACAAGGCCCGCGGGCCAAATCCGTCCCGCCAGGCCTTGCAATGTGGCCCGCACCGCGCTGTCATCACTGCACTCCGCTGCGTTTCCATCACAATGACAGTTTATGACTGTTCAGTAAACCATTCGGCCCGCGATTTAGGCTGGATTTTAGATTTTGGCCCCTTCTCTGATTGAGTTCGACACCCCTACCTAGCCACTGAGCCAAACCGGTCAGGGCTAATTCTCTCTCTTCATTGATGTCTCTCTCCCCCCCTCTCCCTTCCTCTCTCTCTAAAAAAAAAAAAGAACTGAACTAATAGCTCAAGGTATGGATTGGTTCAATTATGCGAATCTTAATAGTTACCATAAATGATGACAGGGCTAGAGGTAGAGAGGAAAATTATTTTATATGTATCTTTTTAAAAATATACTTTCAGATATTTTACATATACATGCTTTTTCTGAATGCCAAGCATGTTGCTAGAACTACAGAAACAAGAACTTCATGGACCCTTTACAGAATGTAGCCTAGAAGGGGAAGACAGACAATGATGTAAATAATTGATCCTGTTACTAGTTGGTCCACAGTTGTGTACTATTTTACCTCTCCACTAAGCATGTTACCTATTTCCCTGCCTTGGTGCCTTTTTCATGATGTTCTCAGTCTTATCTGTTGCTATGAAGCCTTCCTTAATTTTATACTGGACACCCCAATTTACTATTTTCTAAAACACATTAAGAGTTGGTAGGCTATTATAATAATTCTGATAAGTAGACAGGAAGTATTGATTGTTTTCTTATTAATGTCTAATAGTGCTTTCCATATAAAGCCCTTCATAATTTGTGGGGCAAAAAAACAACAGTGGAGAAGGCATGCAAGCAAAGGATAATTGAAGTAAATACGATCATTATGTCTCCCTGAGGCAATCTGGATATACTTATAATAATAGACTGTATCCCCTAATAATTCTAATATAGTTGGGTGTAAAGAAATAAACATACCCGCCAATCCCTTTACTCACTTTTTGATCATCAGGAATTGGCTCCTGGGACTTTAGAAGTGACGCTCGCTCTTCATCTACCCAATTGCCCCACTCTTCTGCTGGTGCATTCCAATCAGAGCTGGGATCAGCAGAAGACAGACCATCTAAAATTTAACATTGTGAATTAGGTATCTACCATTTCTGCCAAAAACTAAAATCCCTTCTGTAACACTAAGCTGTAATTTTAACTATTGTTCCTTCCCCCGAGCACATTTTAAAAGCTAGGAAAAAACCCCAGTAACAGGATGGGGAAAAATACACCTTTGCTCAACTTCTACTGGGCACATCATATGGCTATTTAAGTGGAATTTCTAAGGAACTCCAGAAAACTTATGAATTAACTATTTAATTCTACTTTTCTTACCTCCTTTGTTATCAGTGTCCTGAATTTGCTATTTAGGTCTAACCTGGTAAAATCTGGTCATTTCTTTGTCCCGATTATTACAACATTTTTGTAGTTTATTATATTTCTAGAATACAGAATTAGTCAATCTTTAAACAGTAGTACCAAAATTATACTCCCTCCCCACCTTATGAGCTTTTCAAGATTAGGTTTTTCTTTAAATTCACTAAGTCATTACAGAATACTTAACCTCTTCTTTCCCCTCCTTTTTTTTTTTTTTAATAATTGCACCTTTATTCCAAAATATGGGTCACTTTTTGGGCTTCTATCACCCTACTATCATTTTACTCTAGACTTTAAAATTCCTTTCTTTCACCCTAGGAGGTACTGGCTTATTCTGAAAGGGAAAAACATTCTTTGGCTTTGCCCTGATTAAGCAACTGATTCTCAAAGTTAATCCTTTCCTCCTCTTCCAGGATATCCTACAGGCATGCATATATACTTTTGTAACAACAACTTGTAGTCAGTTTTATTTACACTGGTTTAAGATAACAAAAGTTAGACTTTATTTCTAAATAGTTAATGAATTTAGAATTCTAATATAGTACTGCTTTATTGAAAAAAAAAATCCACTTTTCCCCGACTAATGCCAAATGCTGCTTTCATTAAACACTAAATTCTTTTATATACATTTCACTCTGCTTTTAGAATTTTTATTCTATTCCACTGATCTATTCCTGGGGTAGTGCCATCTATAATAATAAAAGCATAATATGATAAATTAGATGGCTGAAGAGTGGAATGACCTTCCGGATGAAGCCGGGGCTGCGAGGGCCGAGCCCCTTTGCACGAATTTTGTGCACCCGGCCTCTGATATACATAATATAGCTGTGCAATATATTTTAGTATCCAGGAAAACAAATCTGTCAGCATTACTCTCATTTTCTTTCTATTCTTATTTTTCCAGGTGAACTCTATAACTGTTTTTGTTTAAAGGAGAGGCATTATGACACATCTTCATGAAGGCTTTAGAATCTATATTTTGAAAGAATATAGTACTTTCCATATAAAAAATCTCATAAGAAAAAATGTCTATACAGTATGATCCCAAATTTACAGGAGGAAGATATACAAGAAAATAATATATAACAGATATATCTTAACAGTGGAATTACAGGAATTTCATCTTATTAAGCACTTGCTATGTACTAGAACTTGAGCTAGGTAGGTATCAGAGATACAAAGATCAGTATGACATAATCCCGCCCACCCCCATGCCACTCAGTCTATCTACTCAGGGATGGAGATAGGTAAATACAACAGCAAAGTGATAAGATTGTGTCACAAAGGGTATAGAGAGAGTCTAATTAATGGAGGTAAAACACGTAACAAGTGATTACAAGTGTGAAATGTGTTATAAAAAAAGGAAGTCCCTCCCTATATTTTGAAATTTATTAACATAACTTGGGACATTATTACATAGCATTAACAGAGAGGGTAAGAAGGACCTGACCAGGGAGCTCAGTTGGTTAGAGTGTCGTTCATACACCAAAAGTTTGCGGGTGTAGGGCAAATAGCTAGGTTGTGGGTTCGATCCCTGGTTGGGGCATGTATGGGAGATAGCTGATCTATCTTTCTCTCCCCCTCGGGTGAGGATTAAAAAAAAAAAAAAGTATCTTATAATCAAACTAGAGGCCTGGTGCATGCATTCATGCACAGGTGGGGTTCCTTGGCTTGGCTGGCGATCGGGGCTGTCTCGCCCAGTCCCACTCAGGGCAGATCAGGGCCAGCTAGCCTGGGGTTGACTGTGGGAGTGCACAGACCACCGGGGGTAGCTCCTGCATTAAGTGTCTGCCCCTTAGTGGTCAGTGTGCATCATAGAGACTGGTTGACTGGTCTTTCGGTCGACTAGTCATAATGGTTGCTTAGGCTTTTATATATATAGATAGATGGTTCTACATATCTACATATGAACATTGCTCTAACAATAACTATGTCATTTTTGTTAAATTTCTTAACAACTGTATTGAACTTCATACTAACTTCATAGGACTGCTGAGAGGATTATATGAAGAGTAAAGAAGTTCATAACAATGCAGTAAGTGGTCAATAAATGGTAGCTATTTTGTTGTAAAAATAATAATTTACTTTTAGTCCAGCCAGTGTGGCTCAGTGGCTGAGTGTTGATCTATGAATCAGGAGGTCACAATTCGATTCCTGGTTAGGGCACATGTCCAGGTTGTTGCCTCAATTTCCTGTGGGGCATGCAAGAGGCAGCCAATCAATGATTCTCACTCATCATTGGTGTTTTTATCTCTCTCTTCCTCTCCTTTCCTCTCTGAAATCAATAAAAATATATTTTTAAAAATTATATATTTTAAAGGCTTAAATGGCTATAAAGTTTGGAGAGTAACTGTACTATGGCTTAACTTCCATAGGAACATTAACAGAAGAATAATTTCTATTGGCTTCCCAAAACTTTATTGGTGCCCAGCTGGTGTGGTTCAGTGGTTGAACACTGACCCATAAACTAGGAGGTCACAGTTCGAGTCCCAACTAGGAGATCACAGTTCAAGTCCTGTTTAGGGTACATGCCAGGGTTTCAGGCTCAATCCCGGTGGGGGCTTTCAGGAGATGACCAATCAATGATTCCTCTCATCACTGATGTTTCTATCTCTCTCTCCCCCTTCCTCTCTAATAGCAATAAAAACATATTTAAAAAAATGTATTGGTCATGTTTCCATGTTTATTGATCTCAGGTGTTTTTTGTTTTTTAATTAACTAGATCAAATGAAACTATTTTAAAACAACAAATCAATCATCTAAGCCTAAACACCATCACGAGGAGACTTCTCAACACTTAATATCTTAAGGTTCATAGGCCTATCTGCTAACTTCTTAGACATAGTTTCCTTAGAACTGCATAGTATAGCTTCATTCATAATATAGGTCTCTCCATCTATCTATAATAATAAAAGCATAATATGCTAATTAGACTGAACATCCTTCAGGATGACCTTCTGGACAAAGCTGGGGCTGCAAGGGAAGCTGGTGCTGGCAGCCGGGGAAGGAAGGCCTCCTCTTGCTTTGTGTATCAGGTTTCTAGTTTATAAATAATTTCCTATTTTTCAAAATTCCTCCATTAGTTTTCAAACATCTTTTTTGTTGTTGTTGTTAATCCTCACTAGAGAATATTTTTTCCATTGATTTTTAGGGAGGAAGGGGAAAGGAGAGAGGGAGGAAAAAGAAGAGAGGGAGGGGGGGAGGGAAGAGAAAATATCCATGTAAGAGAGACCCAAGGTCTAGGATCAAACCTGCAACCCAAGTATGTGCTCCTGACTGGGAATCGAACCTGTGAACCTTCAGTCTGAGGGCCAACACTCTAACCACTGAACAATACTGACCAGGGATATCAGTATCTTTTCAAAGAACCATATTAGCTGTATTCAAAATGGTAAGCAATGTGTCTCCATTTAACTTGCTTATAGAGTTAAACATCTCATAGCTAATCTCTATTTTATCTCAGCAAGAAAATGGCTGTTAGCTGTTTATCAGAATTTAATGAATTAACTTTAATAAAACACAACAATTACATTAGAAAGACATTCTCCAGTTTTTACACACACCATACTAATGAACAGACTAATTTTGCCCCGAGAAGAAGACATCAACAGCAGCACAGAAGCACATATTCAATATTTACTAGAATATTAGAACACAGGGCAGTATTTTAAGTGTATTTTAATGTTCTAATATGTATTATATTATTTAAGCCTCTCAATAATTCTGCCGGGGGAGGGAGGGAGGGAAGGAAGGCAGGAGGGAGAGAGGGAGGAAGAACTACTATTTTTACAGATGATGAAACAGGCATACAGCCATGTCTTAGGGCAAAGACAAAGAAGATTTAAGCCCACATAGTCCTCAAGGGTCATGCTCTGAACCCCTTCATTATGCTGGGCCAACAAAACCAAAGTTCTATTCAAAATCTCATTCCTTATGGGGTGATGATGATTTTTTTTTTAATGGCCAAGATAACTGATAGATTAGCATCTACCCTTAAAATATAAGATGCTATACTGTAGCATCTTAACCTTATATTCAAGTGCCTGGGTAGAATCAATGACTTTTTATCAGATAATGTTTTCTATGCCTCAAACCAGTCAGTCAATATATATAGATTTAATTGATTTTTAGAGAGAGGAAGGGAGAGGGGTAGAGATAGAAACACTGTGGATTGGCTGCCTCCTGCATGCCCCCTACTGGGGGTCAAGCCCGCAACATAGCCATGTGACCTCTTGCTTATGGGTTGACACTCAATCACTGACCCACACCAGATGGCAAAGAGTCAATAAATTAATCATATTATACTGTTAAATGTAAAACTAGTGCATGTGTATGTGTGTACACATTTTGTGGGTTAGTAATCTCAAATATTAAATCATGCCCTCTACAAATTTAGAAGGAATAAGTAAATTCACCAATTACCAACATTAGCTACATTAAAGATGACAACACACAAAATAAAATTCACATAGGAAATGAAGTTGAAGAGAAACTTTGAACTTAAAAGACTGCCAATACAACATAACAAGTTTGAGAAAGATGGTATTCCTTATACTCACTACTTTAAATAGAGTCATGTGCATACATTTTTCAGTCTTGTTTTAGCAGCCAATCATATTTTTCGTATTACAAGAATTGTTAAAGAGACGAAAGAGGAGCTGTTCTATCCAAGTTGAGAAGTCTAGAGTCTTGTTTGCTCAGTTCTCCTCAGCCTCATCCCACAGCTGCCCAAGACATCTTGACCTCACTCCTGCTATTTTCTTACAATCACTCTACTGTTCTTCAATCACTCCTCAATTCTATTGGGAATAAACTTGATCGTTCTTCCCAAAATTTTTTTTGCTCCATTTTATAACTCAATTTAGATTCCAAGATAAGTGACAAGAAAAAGTCCAAGCCATATGAGGTACTATTACATTTTAAAATCTGTACTAGAACTAGGATACACGTTCTAAACCAGAAACTCCAACCTTGAGCTTCCTAATCTTTAGCCAGCAATTCAAGGCTTTTCACAATATGGTCCTCCCTAATATACCTTTTCAACTTCATCTCCCTTAATCTATAAGAATTGTGCTTCAACTAATCTATAGAGAGACTAATCAATGTACACCACTAATAATCCTTGTGCTGTGTTTCGAGCTTACCTTCACGATTACAATCATCACCAAGACTGTACCATGTAGTGGTTAAAAGCATGAACTCTGGAGCTAGACTACAAAAGTTTGATATCATCTCCTCCACTTAACTTGAGCTGTGTGGCCAGGGGAAGTTAGATAACTTTTTTTTTGCCTCAGTTTCTTAATATGGTAAGTATGGAAAAATAAACATCTACTTCATGGAATTGTTATAAGCATTAAATCAACAGTATTTACAAGACTTAGAGCAGTGTCTGGCCAGTGTGGGTTAGTGGTTGAGCATCAGCCCATGAATCAGGAAGTCATGGGTTCGATTCCTAGTCAGGGCACATCCCCGGGTTGTGGGCTTGACCCCCAGTAGAGGATGTGCAGGAAGCCAATCAATGATTTCCCCCCCCCCTCCTTAAATATGCTTTTACTGATTTCAGAGAGGAAGGGGAAGGGTGAGAGAGATAAAAACATTAATGATGAGAACCATTATCAGTTGCCTCGTGTACGCCCCCTACCGGGGGTTGAGCCCACAACCTGGGCATGTGTCCTTGGACCAGAATCAAACTTCAGTTTGCAGGCTGATGCTCTAGCCACTGATCCAAACTGGGTAGGGCCAAAACATATTCTTTTAAAAAAATTTTAATCAGGGCAAAAATGGTAGAAAACTCCAAAAGTAAATGCTAAATAAATAACAGAAAATAACGTGCTGTAAAAATTCTGAGGAAGTAATAAATTCTGAGGTTTGGAGTTAAAAAGAAAACCAATTAAAAAAAAGAAAAGATAGTATGAGCTTTCTAAGATAAAAACCATTATGTTTTTCCCTTCCTCTTTTTTTTTTTTTTTTTTTTAAATAATTCTTGCTTTAACCTTCTTATGCTTCTATTAGAAATTAGGCTAACCAAATGGTTTTCTATCAATAAAAAAACTTGCATGCCTCACAAATTCAAAGCCATTCCGATATATTTTAGAACATTCACTTAAAACAAAAATTGTAAAACTAGAGCAACTATAAGACAATTTCATGTTTAATTATAATCTCAATCATAAAAAATGAATTTAGTTTTAATTCTATAGGTATTCAATAATTAGTTTACAAGTAATACATTCGGTATTAGATATTACTATGACCTAAGAGGTTAGAAAATAGGATTACAATTAAAATATAAAGCATGAATTCAGGAAGCTAGAAATTCTGAAAAAGAAACAAAAATAAACAAAACCCCCCCAAACTGATAATTTTTAAAAGGACATACTTAACCCAGACCATTCATCATCGATATAGGGCTGATTACGGCTAACATCCCACTGATAATCAGAAGTGGTAGCCTGAGAAACTGGCTCAGCAGTAGATCCTTAAATGAAAACGAATGCAATAAAATTAAAAGTGGAATTTTCTAATTATGTTTCATAACAATTCTATACTTTGCATACGGAGACTTAATTTTTAAAAATTTCTCCTAAAAGAAAAAACTCAGACATTATAAGAGTTAGGATAAAGAAAAAGTAGAATTAAGGGTAATTTTAGATTATATGTGATAATCATTTGATCCAATTCACTAATAAGAAATACATTTTTCCTTAGTACCAATCCATTAGATTTTGTCCTTTATAATATAATTCTTCAAACTAGTTATCTATATATTTCAAAAAGTCAAAAAAGTTTATTGGGGGCACAGGTGCAGGATGGAGGGGGTCAAAGGGATATCTGTAATACTTTCAACAATAAAGATAAATTTTAAAAAAGTTTTCTCTCTCTTCTTAATTAAAAATGATAAAGCACAAAAGAAATCCTGGATGTTTTAGGGTAGTCTATATCCTTAGAACCCTAAAGGAGAGAACTAGAAAATATCTGAGTTTGCTAGAACCTTTTGCCTAAGGAAATATTGAAGAAGAAAGAGAGAGATGATTATTCTAAAGAGTTAAGGCAGTGAGAAGCCAAAGACATAAGAGAGTTATGCTGGTGGTTTAGAGAACAAGTTAAATTCAGGTGCATTTAATGAATAGAGAATACAGCTGACCTTTGAATGATATTGGTTTGAATGGCATAGGTCCACTTATTCACGATTTCTTTTTTTCAGTAAAATTTTGTACTTTCTCTTCCTTATGATTTTCTCAAGTTTTCATTCTCTAGCTTATTTTATTGTAAGACTACAGTATACAATACATATAAAACATACAAAATATGTGTTAACACACGGTTTATGTTTTCAGTAAGTCTTCCGGTCAACAGTTGCCTATCAGTGATGAAGTTTTGGGGGAGTCAAGTTACATGTGTATTTTCAACTGTGCAGGGATGTGTATAGGGGGTATCAGTGTTCCTAACTCCTGCATTGTTCAAAGGCCAGCTATATTCTAAGTGTTTTCTGTTTCTACTTTTCTTTCTTTGGGTGGGTGGAGAAGAAGTCATATAGTCCTTTAGCAATCTGATAACAGCTGTGGCAGACTACTGTCCAGAACTTCCACAAAAAATTGCATATAGTTTTAGAGACATAAATTCATGGTTACCAGGTCAAAACACCCTGCTATACAGCCATAAACTGATTTCAGAATACAAATGTTCTTCATTCAGGATATATACACACACACACACACACACACACACACACACACACACACACCAGGCCTTCTGAATAAGAATCTCTGTATGTATCAGAATCCTTAGGTGACTCTGATATTCACTTTGGATTCAGAGGCACTGATATAAAGAGTTGGTTAAGAAAAATACCTGTTAGTATAAAAGATACAATCACTTCCTCTGATCAAAGTCTTTACTATCAAATTTTACTAGCACTCCACTAATGTTAACTGCTTGATATACTCAATAGTTATATTTTTACGTAACTTTTAACAGAGTAACACTATAAAATTCATATATAATTAGCACATGTACTGCTTAGAGGCCCTCAAGTAACACTGTTGCTGTTTCTTTAGCAGCCCATACTACTTTCTCTGAATATATGAAGGGAACAGCATCTATGTTGTACAAAGTCACCAAATGAAGGAAGCAATTAACTTGTACCTCTGGAAATAAAATGTATTCTGAGACTACGAATTGGCAAACTATTACCCATAGTCCAAATCCAGCCACCCCTTCTTTTGTATACCTATGAGCTAAGAATAATATCAGATTTTTAGGTGGTTGGAAAAAAATCAAAATATTATTTCAGAACCAGACACTCCTCTGTTTATGTATCATTTCTGGCTGCTTTCCTGCTATAATGATACAATTCAGTAGTTGCAACAGAGATGGTATGGCTCACAAAGCCTCAAACATTTACTATTGGGCTCTCTACAGAAAATCTTTGCTGACCCCTTTTCTAGACTAGTGACTCCAGACACTGGGGAACCACATAATTAGTGCACTGAGTCCATGAATTCCAACAACAACCAAGTATTACAAACTAAAAATCTCCCATGTCTAAGTAATATTTGTTAGGTACTTAATAGTTTCTACACGATTAATAAAAGGCATATCCATTTAAGTTATGCTGAATTTTTAGAAATTTACTAGCAATAATATACTTTCTAATCAATATATACTCAAGTAAAGTGATTATGTGAGGGCCCATATAACCTGAAAAGTTTCACTATAAACTTACGACGAATAAGTGAAAATAGAAACAAAATGCCAAATTACAAGTATGGCAGGAGTGCACTAGTAACAGCAGAGTAGCTTGATCCTGAAGGAAGGCCTTCCATTTGTACTTGTCTGTGTGCCAAAGCACTTCCGATCATGTCAGGCTACAGAATCTTATGTCCCCTGCAGAAAGGAACTCAGTCACTTGCAGATTAAGAATTTAGGTCTTGCCGAAACTGGTTTGGCTCAGCGGATAGAGCGTCTGCCTGTGGACTGAAAGGTCCCAGGTTCGATTCTGGTCAGGGGCATGTACCTTGGTTGCAGGTACATCCCCAGTGGGGGGTGTGCAGGAGGCAGCTGGTCGATGTTTCTCTCTCATCAATGTTTCTAACTCTCTATTCCTCTCCCTTCCTCTCTGTAAAAAAATCAATAAAATATATTTTAAAACAAAACAAAACAAAAAAAACAACCCACAAAAAAACTTAGGTCTTCCTTCCCCTTTTATTAAGGCCTCTGTCAGTGATATTATACATTTATTATTATATTGATAGCAATACTTGACACTATTTTTCAAATAGCAAGCGCTAAATTAAACAGAAATTTCTTGTTAACTAAATGAAAGACTGTTTTCACATACCAGGAACAGCAGAGTTAAGTGTGAGAGATGCAAAAGAAGCAGAATTCTGTTCAGAGGTATTCATTCCCCTATCCACACTAGACCAAGCAGCTGTTAAAATAAAGAATGTCACTTGGAATCTTCGATTTGCAATGAAACTTGAAAGATTTGTACAGATTTAAAACTATGGTATCAATATTATATAACCTTAGAAAATTAGAACTTAATATAGCAATAGCTACTATTTAGTGAATGTTTGTTATGTACTGGCTCTTTATACCAACCACTTTTAATCTTTAGGGCAAACTTGCTAGCAAAGTTTCAGAGTATAGTTAAGTAACTTGCTGACAGCTATAGAAAACAGCTGAGCCAAGACTGGAACTTAGGCTGATTTCCATTGCAAACTACCTTATTATCTACCACAATTAAGCTATGACTTTGGGCCAACCACGGGACTTTATACTACTTGATATTCATTTATTAAATCCTCACAAGTACTTAAATATGAGGTTCATACAGGAGGTTAAATAAACTACCCTAATTTACATAAAAGCCAATGGAAGAATAGAGATTCATACCAAATTGATCTATTTGAAGTAATCCATGCTTATTCCACTAGATCATGCTATCTTCTCAACATTTCCAAGAGATTTCTTACTTCTATATGAATATTTTAAGGAGCATATACATCTATGATGCCAGACACTCCTGAGCAAATCTAATTTCCCAGTTCTCTTTCAACAAAGGTCCTAATCCATCTAAGCAGGAACTCTAATCTGCTGCTTAATTTAATCTGTAACAACATTAAGCAAATACCACCTAATTTATGTCCTAATTATGAAAATGCCACATAGCTTTTGTAAGTAAGTTGCAAATAGGTCACAGTTCTTAACATTACTTGATAAAACTTGACCATTGGTTGCTTTACAGCATAGAAATTTATGCTTTCTTCACGATTGAAATTAGCTGGGAATTTAGGGAATGTTTCTTCTTCCAAATTTTGGTATTCCTACAATTTTTGGATATTGTAGAGGGAGGAGGGGAGAGCAAGCTTAAGAACAGTGTTAGTAAATGATCAAAAGTTTGCTTCTTGGAGAACATCAGTCAACATGAGTCTTTCTAAGCTTAAAAGTGATGGGAAAAGCAAATAACATAGGAGGAAGCCATTTTTTTTCTACTTAAACTAAACAGAATATACTAACAAAAATTATCTGGCAGGCCAACAGAAAAAAATATCTTTGATACACAGAAATTACAACTTAATAAAAAAAAAACACTAAGAAGCAAAGAACATGAATAGAAATTCATAAAAGAAATAGACATAATCAAGAAAGCTGTGAAAATATGTAATACTTTTAACAATAAAGATTTAATTAAAAAAAAGTTGTGAAAAATATTCAGCCTCATCAATAATTAAAAAAAATTAACCAAAAACAATGTATGTTCTTTTTGTTTATCAATTAGAAAAGATTTTTAGAAACAAGAATACCCAACCTTAGTCAGCATATGACAAATGGCACTCATACTGGTACTGATATATAAATTAGAACTCTCTTAGAAAATATATTAATATGTCATGTAGCATTACAAACATTCATATTATTCCCTTTAATATAATATCACTCCCAAGAATCTATCCTAAAGAAGTAATCCCAAAATAAATATATTCAATGCAATGCTATTTATAGTGATTAAAAAAACAGAAAAATTATTTCTCTAATAACGTGAAAGTATTGAGTAACTTATGCTATGCTTATACAATGTATGATAGGACCATTAAATAAAAACACTTACAAAATGGGAAATGTTTATGTAATAATGGTAAGTGGGATGTGGGAACATAAAAATGCCTATCTGATTTGGATTATGTAAAAGAAAAATTATACATGGTGGGGTGGGCAGGGGAAGGCCATAAAATACACAAAAACACAGTGGTTGGCATTGGGTGGTGTGGTAACACTGAGTTTTTTCTTCTCTTTCTGCAGTTTTCCATATTAAACATGCATTTCTTTTCATAATACACCCACCCATCCCTAAAATTAAGTTGCTTTTAATTTGATGGCTCTCAACAGAAAAAAGCTCAACTACTGATCTTTGTCTTTAAAACCCAGGGGGAAAATTAGTTACAAAGAGGCATTAAACTATTGAAATTAATAAAAAGACTGGTCACACATTACACTTATTACAACACTAAAAATATAATTATATCAGTTAGCTACATGGGTAATCAAAATATGATAAAATATGTGAAAGCAGTAGTCAAGAGCAAAATAATAAATGCTATTATTTACTTAGTTTGCTCCATAAGAAGGACCTGAGATGAGTTAATTATTGCTATTATTTCTGTATGGTATTACTAGTTTTTATACTCAAGGATCTTTTTCCATTCCTGGGAAATTCACAATGTACCAGTTAAACAATTTTAAGCGAATTTAAAAATTCTAACGTATCTTACCAATACCAGAAAAAATGGAACGGTCGCTCCAACTCCTCCCCCAGTCTTTTCCATTCACATTAGCATCTCCGGTGTCTTGACCCCAAGCAGATGGCTCAGTTTTCCTCTTGCCTGCGGAAGCAGGTGAAACAGAATTCCACTTCTCCTCCCCTGCACTTATCTGTGAGGAGAGTTTTATAGACTTTTCATTCCAGCCTCCTCCATTTACAGTGGGGTTTTCATTCAATCCTGAAGAAATTTAAAGAAAGAAAAGAAAGATTAAAAACTGATACATGACTCTTTGTTAAAAATGGGATATTTTCAAATTTCTAGGATTGCTCAGTTTATATTTATCACTCATTATTTCTCCATACTGCCCTCTAAATAGCCTGAGCTTAGAAGAAAAAAAAAAAAGAATTTAAAAAGTGACATGACCAGCATAAATGACTTTTAATTTAAAAACTAAGGAGTGGTTTGGCCTTAATATATACTCACTAATGTTTTCAACAGCAGAATGACTTGTTCAAAGGAAATGCAACAGAACAAAAAGGAAAACAACATAGTCTGTATACTCAGAATACTTACCCACTAAAAATATAAAGACTTCGTCTTAATTACAGGTTCTTTTCTTAAATATTTACATATATACTATGTTTAAAGCAGTAATTCTAAAATCATTAAAATCAATTGAAAATGTTTTCCTTTTTTTTCATGCATGAAAGATGTTTACTGCAACATTGTTTATAATATTAGAAATGAAAAGTAACCTCACATTACATCCAGCCTGCTTCTACACCTTTTGTTAAGTGAAAATTTTCTTAAAAGTAGACACTGGAGCCCTAGCTGGTTTGGCTCAGTAAACAGAACATCGGCCCGAGGCCTGAAGAGTCCCAGGTTCGATTCCAGTCAAGGGCACATGTCCAGGTGGCAGCCAATCAGTGACTTTCTTTCATCAATGATGCGTCTATTTCTACTTCTTTCTCCCTCTCCCTTCCTCTCTGAAATCAATAATTTTTTTTTTTTTTTTTTTTTTAAAGTATAGACTCTGGAGCCTCAGCCCAGACAAATTAAAATCAGAATCTCTGGGGGTGAAACTCAGATGTCAGTATGTATGTACATATATATTTGTATACAGTTACATGTTTGTATGTATATATAAATGCGTGTGTGTGTGTGTGTGTGTGTGTGTGTGTGTACACACACACAAGTCCGTGTTCCTCTTTAAATTCATGATCGCTATTTTTTAAGCTTCCTAAATAATTTTAATGTATAGCCAGGACTCAGAACCATGGGAAAGAAGAAAGCTGATAGTGTTAAGAACAAGCCTAAAATGAGAAGATGCCTTTTCATTTCTGAATTTAAGTTGTACTACAACAATTTAATTTTTAAGTAAGGTATTTAATTCAATATTTATCATAAATAAGTAAATAAAGTACGTTTTCTATTTGTGAAGTACTGTATAGTTTATACTATACTTATTGTGAAATACTTGATAGTGTTAAGGAAGCAGTTTCAAAGGTTATAGGTATTAGGGATTTTTTTTTTGTAATAAAGAGTGGAAAAGCCTTTATGTGCCTATATTAAACCCAAGTCCAAGAAAATCCTTCTTTTCTCCACTGGTTTAAATGAGGCAAGCAAGAATCAAAATGGCATGTAAACTATTATTAAAAGAATGTTTTCACATATGGAGGAGAGAGGGAAACAACTATTGGAATAGAACATATCAAATACTATTGGAAGTGGGCATGATTTTACTTTTTATTTATTTCTAAAATCTCTTGACTGTGATTATGTTACTTTAGTAATTAAAAACCATTAAGCCCTTTCCCTTTCTGTCATTCATGTGAGGAAAGAGACATGCCTGTAAAGTTTCTATTTTGATGGGCCTTCAATTTAAGTTACATGTAATTTCTCTCACCCTGATGTGTAGGATCTCCTTTTCCAGACTTAAAGTTGCTAACTTGAACATTAAGATGAGATTCACCTGGTTGAAATAGAAATAAAATTTATTTAATACTAAATAGGCCACTATGCACATTAAGTTAGGAGTAACATACAAATCAACTTTCTTACTATTTATAATAAATTGTTCCTTTAAGCACTAAATTCTTTTACTGGAAAAGAGCCATTTTTACTCACAATGTAATTTTACATGTCCTTAAGGAATTTAGTTCTTTAGTTACCATATTCTGAGCCAATGAAAATGACAACAAAGGACCTGGAAAATCTCCCAAGTAAATAGAGCCTGCTCTTATATAATGGTTAATCAAGATTCTTTTAAGTAGGAACTAGAGAACTGGGCTCTGTAATTGAATTCAACTTTGCCACCTCATTTTGCTACCACAATACCAGCTGCCACTTCAACAATCCTGGAAATAAGCACATCAACTAAAGAACTCTGTCAGTATTTGGGACCAGGACTTAGAAAATGTGGCACGAGGTGAGAATACATGTTTTAACAAACATACAATTTCTCTGACACTAAAAAGCATAATGATCACAATGTATCACAAAACCAGCATGACACAGGATTGTGCTAGCAAGGAAGGCATGCATAAGACAATTGAAAAAGGGTGACCAGCAGAAACACTAAAGTATGGCTAATATGTATTAATAACAGTGAAAATGGATAAGTAGATGTCATTTCTGTACCAAAACAATAAATTCCACCAATTCATCAAGCAAAAATGTAAAAAGGGAACAAACCCAAGAAAGTGATCTAGAAACAAATGCGGGGTGGGGAGGCAATTAATAAAAAGATGAAAAAGGTAAGTCAATTTCTTAAAGCAAGCTGAACAGTATAACTCTGCTGACTGATGTCTTCAGGGTAAAAATGATGGCAATGTAAAGAGCTACCAAGAAGTTATCACTATTAGATAATCTGAACATTGGAGATACTTGGGAAGAACCTCTGAAGTTCCAATCTAGCTTTATCAAACACCTACAGCATTCTCAAACATTCGGGGGTTGTGAGAAATCCAGATAGAACCTGCACTGCCAGAACATGCTTGTTTCATCTTGGAATAAAAGCACCACATGCAGAACGATGACAAATAATTGCATTTAAAATATTATACACTATAAGAAATGGAGATGTAAGAGAGTTGGGGCAAAGTAATATACACGAGAAGAAAGAGGTAACATCATTTTCTCATGTGACTCAAGTCAATTTTAATGTAATGGGCCATTCTTTAAGCAGTATATAACAAATAACCACTGCTGGTATCAGATAAACCAAGACGTGGTCCGCAATGCTCTCACAAAGAAGGGTCTACCAGCACAATGATGTAACTAGTTCAAAATAATCAGATTTTTACGAAATGATATTTTATATTAGATTTAAAGAAGTTGGATTTGATGTATCACTTTTACATTCCACTAATATACCTTTATTCTTCTTGGAACCAACAGGAAATGATGCGGTTGTAAGTTGATCGGTGGTAACTGTGATGGTATTTTCTATCCCATGGATAGTTGAGTCCAATGAACCAGAGTCAGTCTGTACCTTATCACGTTTACGTTGCTGTCGTTTTTCTCTGTGACTAATTTTAGTTTCCCAGGCTCCTGACATAGCCCCAGAAAAAAAATGTTATTCAGTAAGGGGAAAACAAAAACAGTTGTAGTGTTGTGTTGTGTTGTGTGTGTGTGTGTGTTTTTTGTTTTGTTTTTTTTTGCATTTTTTGGGGGGATTGGGGGAGAAAAAGGGGAATGGAGCAGTGCACACAAGACAGCATGATAAATTTAGATATTAACTGTTATTTAATAGGAGTGCTGATTATAACAATTTATCCTAAGATTTATTCTAATCTCAATATATTGTTTTAGGCAGCTAATTGCCATATTTATTCTCATAATTTTTATCAAATCTATTATATCTCCTATAGCTTAGAAAAAAATGACACAGAAGTCATCTTGTATATTTTTCTTTTGCTCAATAGAACTGATAGGAGAGTGTTATACATAACTACTAATAAATGGGCTTATTAGGCAATAACAATAAATGCTCACTCAAAAAAATTGTGCACAGCCTTCTAGGGATAGCATATTTAAGAACAATGAGGGAAAACCTAAACTATATCTAGAAAACAAAGTCAAAACAAATGGCTTTTTAATTGCTCAAGATATTGAGTTAGAACTTAAGTTTTAAGACAGTTCCTTTTAGGAAAAGCACTGTTAGATGCTTAATTTAGATAAAGAAGTGTTTCCTAACAATGTCATAGATCTCTACATTAAGATCTATAGTCATTAAAAAGAAGAGCTAGATACAGATTAAACAAAACAAATGCAACTTTAATATAATGCACCTTGGTAAAAAAAAAAAAAAAAAAAAAAAAAAAAGATTAAATTTTTTTCTACAGTCCTTTCACTTGCTCAAGTACCTTCATCAACTTCCTTCCCATCATGGCGTGAACTGTTTTGCACTGCTTTAGCATCTGACTTTGATTTCTTCTTATTTTTCTTTGACTGAAAGTAAAATAAAATGTTACTTAATATTTCATGTTTTGAAAAGGTAGGAGTCAGTAAAATACATAATGTATGATACTGGCAATCAAAAAAATTAATGTTTGATCTAAAAAATTAACATACTAAAATGGCAATAATACAAGGTTATCATTTATTGAGTAGTTACTAAATGCTAAGTATTTTACACTACTTTTTTTATTCCTTAAAAAAACTCAACGGAAAAGGTATTATTCCTATTTTAGAGATGAGAAAATGAAGACTTAGAGATGTTAAATATTAAAGAGACTGTTCTGGGTCACACAGTAAATCGTCGAGTCAAATTTGGAAATAGGTCTATCTGGCTCCAAAGTCTGTACCCTCAGACATCATGCTATCCTAATTTAAATAATAAAGTGCTATAATTTGGTGTTTTTAAAGCATTAAAATAAAAACCTAATGCTAGTGTTCAGAAGAAAAATGATGTCCGATTAATGGGTTTGGATTTCATAAAGACTGTTGGCATACCCTATGTATAACAAATTGAGTGAATTGTACAAAGTAGGTAATATTTTGTCAGTTTAAAAGCAATGTGCAGCCCTAACCAGTTTGGCTCAGTGGATAGAGCATCGGCCTGCATGCAGACTAAAAGGTCCCAGGTTCGATTCCAGTCAAGGGCATGTACCTGAGTTGCGGACACATCCCCAGTAGGTGTGAAAGAGGCAGCCGATCGATGTTTCTCTATCTCCCTTCCTCTCTGTAAAAAAAATCAATAAAATATATTTTAAAAAATAAAATAAAAGCAATGTGCAAATACCTAGAATTTGTATATACAGGGTGGGGCAAAAGTAGGCTTACAGTTGTTCATATGGAAAATCTATCTATATAATCGAGGAATATGCAAATTAGTCAGGATGCCGTAATGTCTCGACCAAACAGCAGGGACCTGAAGCTACATGGCGCCTGGCCGGAGTGAGGGACCTAAGGCCATGCCCCCCGCCTGGTGGGGCTTGACAGGGGACCTCAGGCCGCGCCCTCCTGCCCAGCCAGGCCGGTGGACCTGAGTTGCCCCCCCCCCACCCTCCGGGGCTTGACAGGGGTGGGGCCAGCAGGGTTTGGGTCTCCTGTGCTTTCGAAGTGCATGTGGGTAGTGGGCGGGGTCTTGACTCTAGGTCCCGCAGTGCACCCCAGACTCTGACAGGAGGGAGATTTTTATGTACATTTTACTAATTTTCTTTCACCTCTGATACTTCTATTATAGAGAAAGGGCAAACAGCAATATTAAAATATTTCCTTTAATTAATTCCATTTGAATGTGCATAAATTTCATGCACTGGGCCACTAGTAATACAATAATAAAGAATACAAGAAATTAACTGTGTCTTGTGTAATCATAACTGTAAACCTACTTTGCCACAACCTGTAGCAGATGCTTAATAATTCATTTAAGAAAAAACATACAAGACATGGACTCTTTGGAATGGCCTGCCAACTCCCTTCTGCTAATATTTTCTTATTTCAAAAGCTTACTAATAAACTTCTAAAAGCCACAATTTCTATATTTAGATTGTTTCCAGAAAATTAGTAGACATAAGTGATGTTATTTATACTTTGTATTCACTCATTTAACTATTCATTGAGATTAACTATGTGCATATTGTTGCATACTATCTTAAAGTTTATAACTAAAAAGAGATTGTATCTTCTTCAATCTTTTTTATGGGTAAGCAGTAAAAAGACTGAGTAAGGCAAGAAATGACATCTAACTGCTTTTTCTATCAATAAACTACTTGCAAATATTCTCAAGTAACAAGACCTCTTAAAGGTGATTAAAAATTATCTTTGATAATAGGAGCATATAAAAATTATTAAATTTTGTTTACATTCTCCATAGTTCATTTGAATTTGTTTTGTTGTATGTTTTTATTATCATTAATATGTATCATGTATAATGTCCTATTTTATCACATCTACCAAACCAGGTTCATATTCACTTTTTAAAAATTAAGAAATCAGAAGTTGCATAACTACCATCATTATCCAATCCAGAACATTTTCATCATCTCAAAAAAGAAATGTGACACCCAATAGCAGTCCCTCCTTGCCACCTTTTCCCCAGTGGCACCCACCATGAATCTTCTGATGGTCTCTGATATCCACTCTTAAGTAAAGATAGCAACACTGAGCATCTGTCAATACACAGTCTAGAGTAGTGGTTCCCAACGTGGGCCAATTTGATTTTTAGGGAGGCAATTTGAGAATGAGTTATTAACAGTGAATTTTTTGCATTTTTTATGGTTATAGGGGCCTCATATACAGCATATAAATATATATCCTATATTATAAAGAGCTAATATGCTAGATGGTGGAAGGACCTTCGGGAATGACCAGTGGGTGAGTGGGGGAGGGGCCTCGAGGGCCAAGCCCCTCACACGAATTTCGTGCATTGGGCCTCTAATTGTGACATATTTATGCATTTCAATTCTCTGTTATATGTTTTGAAACTTTATTTGCTATTTTTTTCATATCACTTCATATTATTATTATTTCTTTAACAATTTCTTAAGTGATTTCTTCCTCATTACTTTAACTGTCCTTTCATTCTTTTATTTTCCTCTTTCATTGATGCCATGTTCTTTGGAAGCTTGTTTAGGCTACGTTAATGGCCTTTTAGGCCTCTTTCATGTGAAGAGGAGTCCACTTTTTGAATAATAAGAATTACATGTCATTGGGGGGGCATCAGGATTTTAGAGATGGCATGGCCAAAAAAAAAAGTTTGGGACCACTGGTCTAGAGATTGGGTTGGCAAACTTTTTCTATAAAAACAGTAAATATTTTAGGCTTTGTAGACCATATGATTATACATGTAGCAACCACACAACCCTGCCACTGTAGCATGAAAGTAGCCATCTACAGTATATAACTGAATGGTTGTGACTGTGTTCCAATAAAATATTAACAAAAATAGACACCTGGCTTGATTTGGAGAGTTGGGAGTTTGTCAACCCCTGATCTGGAGCAGTACTGACCAATAGAAGCACATATGTAATTTAAAATTTTCTAAGACACGTGTTGAAAAGTGACGAGAAATAGATAACATTAATTTTAATAAAACATTTATCCCAACACATCCAAAGTATTATCATTTTGAAATTTAATCAGTAAAAAAACACACCTAATAAGAGTAAGAGCAGCCAAAACCGGTTTGGCTCAGTGGATAGAGCGTCGGCCTGCGGACTGAAAGGTCCCAGGTTCGATTCCGGTCAAGGGCATGTACATTGGTTGTGGGCACATCCCCAGTGGGGGGTGTGCAGGAGGCAGCTGGTCGATGTTTCTCTCATCATCAATGTTTCTAGCTCTCTATCCCTCTCCCTTCCTCTCTGTGAAAAATCAATAAAATATATTAAAAAAAAAAAAAAAAAAGTAAGAGCAAGACTGCTTCAACAGCCACATGTGGCAAGTGGCTACCATACTGGACAATGCAAAACTATAGGAACTAACTAAAAGTGGTACTCCATTTTACTGATAAGAAAGCAGTAGTTCTCAACCTTTTTAATGCTGTGACCCTTTAATACGGCTCCTCATGTTCGTAATGTAAATATCTGTGTTTTCCAATGGTCTTAGGTGACCCTGCTAGTGGTTCTCAACCTGTAGAGCCTAAGACCATCGGAAAACACAGATATTTACATTATGATTCATTAACAGTAGCAAAATTACAGTGATGAAGTAGCAACGTAAATAATTTTATGGTTGGAGGTCACCACAACATGAGGAGCTGTATTAAAGGGTCACGGCATTATAAAGGTTGAGAACCACTGCCATAAGGACATATACATTGGCTAAGATCATAGGGTTTATTAAGTGGTAAATCCAGGACTAACATCCAGTTCTGACTCCAGAGCCTGCTCTTACAAATACTCTGCTATTCTCTTTCTACATTTAACTCCAAATACAAGTTTAATCATGCATTAAGTACATGATTTGGGGCTAACTCACTCTAAACCCTTTTTCCCAACTGTCATTTGGGACAAAAATTCCTACTAACTTCACATAATAAGCTTCTTTTATAGATTAAATAGATATGAAAGCAGATTGTTAGGAAACTATATAAAAAGAATAGAAATTACATTCACACTGACATGTACTGTGATTTGTCACTAAAATATGCAGAAAAACAAAAAATTATCTTTGTTTAGGCTTCAGTCTTATTTGATTTTACTATTATTTTTAAAAGTAGCTACCGTATTTTTCGGACCATAAGACGCTCCGGACCATAAGACGCACCAGTTTTTAGAGAAGGGAAATGAAGAAAAAAAGATTCTGAAACAAATAGTGTCCTAAAATATTTTATTAAAACCCAACATCACAGTCATAAACACATGTAATCAACCCTGTAAAGTAAACAGCAGCATTTAGAACCATTTTAGAGCCGGGCAAGCACACAGAGACCACACAGAGCCGGGCAAGTAAAAAAACTTTTTTTTTAAAGTATATGTGTAGGCTATATATGGACCATAAGACACAGGGACTTTTCCCCCCCACTTCTGGGGGGAAAAAAGTGCGTCTTATGGTCCGAAAAATACGGTAATTAAACAAAATACTCAGAAGAGACTTAATAACATATTATTAAAAGCTTTAAATAAACATGCATACATACTACTACTTTGTTCCAGCCATCCAACTAAAGTGAATGTCTTACTTCTGAGCAGCTCTACTACAACTAATACTATTGAAAGACAACTGGGAACACACACGCTCTTCTGGCTTCCTTGTTATCATAATTCGGCCTCCAGCTCTCAACTCCAATTTGTTGAAAGGCTCCACCAAGAATCCGTCCGGGTGGATTACTAAACTAGTCTCTCCTGAATGGTCTCCAGACAATCAAGATTTATTAAATACCTCTATATGTCAGACATTGTTTTAGGAACTCAGTATAGAGAACTGAAAAAAAGTCTCTACTTATGGAAATTGTGCTATAATCGAATAGGATAAATGGACATGTAAATGAGATATTAGGAGAAATT